AAACAAAAGGAAAGGAAAAGAAAGCCTAAACTCCATAGTTGGCTCAAGGAAGAAGAAGAAGAAGGAGCAAGAAAACCATCCAAAGTTTCCAAATCATGATTTCCAAACGCAGCATCAACTTCTACGTAAGTTCTGAAATTTTCCATCCATTATCTCGAAATACTTCTTGAACCAAAGTTGTAGCCCCGAACGATACGAACCCAGCCCAACAAACCGCTCGCGATTTCGTTAAGTAACGAAGAAGATATGGCCAAAATACCGGGACTGCGCCAGTGGTGGCGAGCTCCTCGGGTTGGCATGTTTTTCTTCACCAAATTCATATTATTTCATTCCAAGAACTTACCATAAACTCTCTAAAACTTATTAGGAACATCCGGAAGGTATCGTAGAGAAGGTTCGGCGTTAGAATATTGAAGTTAATGAGATAATCGTCGGAATCGTTGTTCGTCGGAACATCCAAAATCCTGGCAGCAACTATGAGTCCACTTGTGATCTATATTTGACCACTTTAAACTCATTATTTTAACATGGTTTCTTCACGAAAGTTATAGCCTTACATCTTAGGAATCCACAAAATCAAACGTTTTGCAATTCCGTGAAGAAACGATGGAGATATGACCAAATTACCGCAGGCTGTCCAGTTGTGACGGAAATGACAAAGTTGGCAAATTTCGATGTTGTTTCCACTCCCGCTCATCCGTAAGGTTTCGGCCGATGATTTCCAGGTCTGTACCTTTGCGTTAGACTTGTCGAATCATTCAACACATGCGTACATGAACATATATGTTAATCCATATGTTGAAATCATTCCAAAATATATGTGTGGTGCATATATAAGTCATCTTTGTGTTAAAACCATAATACACCAAATCCATAAAGTTATTATATAAATACATGAATATATATATATATATAAGCATTTGAAATCAACCCAAAAATATGTATATATTAATCAAAGGTGTTTAAAAGACTTAAAGAAGTATTTTTGGATACTCAAAATATCAAGAGATAGATTCGCAGACCCAAACGGTCGATGCAAACGGTCGACCGTCGTATTAAAATTTGATACGGACCATGACTGTCAGGCAAACGGTCGACCGCTGGTGGCTGACGGTCGACCGCCGCCGTCCAGCCGAAGTCCGCCATTCGCAGCCAGTCAACAACGGTCGACCGCCAGTCAACCACGGTCGACCGTCACGGTGATCCGCCAAATCCGAACTGTTGAAGATCAAGGTCGACCGTTCCGCCAAACGGTTGACCGTTCCGAGCCCCGTAGTTTAATTAAATGATATTTTTATCAGATTTCATCCAAATAAAATAAAGTATATTTATCCAATCATGTTGTTTACAAATTGTTCATATCATGTGATTCATTTCATCATCCAT